ATATATATATATATATATGTCAGTAGTTCATAGAATAAAAGAACAATATTCATTTTACTCAAAATGTATACCTATAAAAAGAAAATTAGAGAAACTGATCATTTTAAGTGGTCTCTTAAGTTTTTCCAGAGCTGTATTTAAATATCAATTTTCACTTGTGTGGTGAATTTCACACGTTCACTAGCCACACTGTTGGCATGTTTCATTCTAAATGGGTTTACACATGTATTTACTGACAACAATCCAAACTGTGCTGTGTGTTTTCTAAGCTTACCTTTGGAGGACTTTCTGAATCTGCAAGAATGAGTTTAGGTGGCAAAGAGAACTTTGCTGGCTGCTTGGAAGGAATCACCTACAATGGAGATAACATAACCAGCTTGGTGCGCAGGAAGAAGGTGGACACCTCCAATTTTGTAAGAGTCCCTACCTTTTCTTGCACGTTTCTTGTTTAATATTTTGTTTGAAAAGCAAAGATAAGGTATTATTATAGCCATATTAGGAGATATCAGCCTTAACATTTTCCAAATCTTAAATGCGCTTTGCAAAATCTTTCAAACAAACCCGACAAAGTCTCTCTGGTGTGTCTAAGGTGTGAATTTATGAAAAAAAAAAAATAGACACTTGATTTCAGTGTATATGTTATATAGCTATATAAATAAACTGCAAAGGACATGCATACACAGGATATTGGTGGGTTGATGCTGAATGTGCAACAATTTTAAACTTCTGTGAGTGTTTAATGGTTTTTTGGTGGGGAGAAAATCTAATTTTTGATTCATCAAGATGCAGATATGGACAATTTTGACTAGAATAAGAAGATAAGAAACATCAAAACTTTATCTTTATTTATGACCAAGCGTGTAAGTGCAGCACCAGGATAGTTAATGACAGTCCTGCACAGTCAGTCCTCAAAGCAATGCTTTAGTTTTTTCTCTGGTCATCACACCTGAATCAAATGATGGTTCATTAGCAGGCCTCTGCAGAACGTTGACATGGAGATGTGAGGACCATTTGAATCATTTATGGTGAACACAACATCATACAAGTTAGTCGCCACTTGGCTTACTCAGCTGGCCATAAGAGGTTGAACAGCTAAAATCTTTTCTTTCCTCTGCCTATATTCCCAAGAATACTGTGCACTTCTGGATCGGAGTTCAATGAAATTATTGAACAGTTTATTGGATGTACTTTCTGTTAAGCTGATCACATTTCTATTACAATATACATATTGTTATTGATTTATTGCCCAGCCCTACCTCAGGGTTAAAAAAAACTCTTCAAGCTCACCACTGCTGCTCAGATGCTACTGGTAAATGTGCTCAAACACACATCATCACTTTGCTGTACAGTGCAGCAGGTGAAATGTCAGTATTGGAGCTCCATTACACAATGTGACAACTGCTGTGGTGTAGAATAGCGTCATAAGTCTCTAAAAGCTGCCTTCTTAATTAGTGCTGGTTTAGTATAATCCTTGAATTTGTCCTGACAAATTAGTAAGTTTTGAGTTCCATTCACAGGTATAAGCCAATTAACAAAAAAAGTTCCAAAAAACTTGCAGTTTGCTTAGTGAGAGACTCAGACACTGATTTGATCCTTGAGTCTTAGTACACACGGCCAGTACAGTGAAACGGCAAATGGCTCTTTAAATCAGTTATGGTTCCTCCACTGTGATAATCTCACAGTAGAGTCAATTTCACATTTCACATGACTCAATCAATACATGACTTAGATGAGTTTTTTTTATTGATTTTGATAAGCTAGTTAGAAGCAATGATGACCAACTGTGGCTGTGGAATTCCTACTACTTAATATTTTTTACTGTTTTCTTTGCTATTTGGATTGTTTGGATTTGCAGTTCAAAATGAGAGGTTTTCAGTGAGATGCATCCTAAACGATAGCTGTTCACAGTCGTAGTCAAGAGGCCTGATGGTCAGATTGAGTCACTCGCTCAAAGACTTAAAAAAAAAATAAAGACACGAGTGAAAGATCACTGGATCATTAGCTCTTAGGAAGCAGGAAGTGGTTTGTTTTGCCTTTTGTGGTTATTTCTTGCAGCTAATTTTTCTACCACTGGATTTATGTTTCACTGCAGCGTAACCTGACATTCACCTGTGCTGAATCCAGCTTTTTTCCTGTCTACTTCAACTCCACATCCTTCCTGCGACTGCCGGGCCAGAGGGACAGTGACACTCTCTCAGTAAGTCTGTCTTTCAGGACGTGGAACCCCAACGGAGTGCTGATGTTCACACAGCTGGCTGAGGGTTGGTTGGAGCTGTTACTGATTGAAGGCAAGATCACCGTCTACATGAACGTGACACAGAAGAGGAGCACACGTATTGACATTTCTTCAGGTGAGCTCAGCTCTGTGTTTATAATGGCCTTGGAAAAACTTTTGGTTGCTTGGCTCGTGTTGCAGAAAGCAAGTGGAGACAAGTGAAAGCTGGATTGATTGATTATTTAATTAAATTTGATGAAAATATGCTCATGTAGATGATCTCTGCTAAATGATGAGATTTTGTGACCGGATGTGCTGTAGAAGATCGCTGACCAATAATGTCATGTACGGTGAGGATTGAAGGATTATGTCTTAACAGATTGGGCCTGCGGTCATTCCTCTGTGTGTTCAGCTTTGGGCTGCAGAACTACCTCAAGATCCACTCCTAGGAATAGACTCCTCCTAGAAAGAGTAGAATCATAACCGTTAGAGCTAAACAGGGTCAACGGCAAGCTTGTCTATTGCTTTCTTTCATTGTGTTGCAAGTGTGGAATGGATACTTTAACAAATATTTTACCATGAAAGTTTTATGTGGACAGATGGTGTTAAGCTTGATATCCCTAAAATTATATTACTCCACTTTCACGCCTGATCTATGGCACAACTGAGGTTGCTTATATTGGTACATTTAGAATTTTCTGAAACTTCCCAGGTATACTATGGCAATGTGGCAAGTTTTGATGCTGTATGTACAATGAAAAATAAAAAAAATTTCATTGTACTGGAAATTCTGGATCCTCAAAAACCACACGAGGAGAAACCCTTCTGCTACCAGAAAAACAGAAAATGTTTGCTGCAGGAATGGTGGAATAGACTCCTGAGGCTCCATGCTGATTAACACAGCATAGAGCAATCAAGGCACCAGAATATCTGGACACAAGGGGCTATAATCAGGGATGAAAGTAAGCCGGTACTTTTAAAGGATTCTGAGCCGGTATGCAGTACTGGGAGAACGGCTGCACTTTGAGTCAGAATAGATCTGCGTTGAAATGTGCAGTCTCATACACATTTAATCTGTTTAAAAACATTTTTCTCATTCCAAATTCTTTCTGAACTGTCTGTACTGCGTGATGGAAACCTCTCACTCCAGCTATTTCTCTCTTTCTCTCTCTCTTTCCTCCACCTCTTCCCTCCCGGAACTCATAGCTTTCGTCACCAGCCTTCAAACTGTTCTCCGCAATGTTTACATCTGTCTCCTTATTACAAAATGTCCCATTTAAAAGCAAACAGTGATTATCTAGTTGTGTTTTATGTTAGTTTGCTCAATTAAAACAACACAGCATACCTCAAAAACAACTGCTTATTAACGTGACCGGAGATTTTACTGTTTTTAAACGGTAGCACATGGCACGCACATCTTCTTCCAAAAGACGGTGGTTACTGATTGGATTGGTGTGTTTGATTTATATACTGGAACATTTTATACAGGTGGTCCACAGACATAAAACATACCACTCGCACTGGTACAGGTCAGGACGAACAATAAATCACTTATTATTCATATACTTTAAAATAAAAAACAGGAAAATACCTGGGGACAGTGAATTTGGTCCAGGTGGACACGTGGATCATAAGCACCTCCCATTTTCAAGACCTTCATTGAATAACAGTTAACAGGCCGCAATGCAACACAGCAGGAGGCTGTCACAATGCTCATCACAAAGGAAATGAGAAGATATTGATCTCAAACTATTTTTATTTAAGAGTGCATTTATAAATTAAATAGCAACAGAAAATAGTGTGTTTTTAATGGGACATTAATTTCCAATATTTTATGTCAGCTGTTTGTCCCTCCTATCTAATAGTTTTAAATAACTGACTCCAAACTAAGCACCTGATTTTCTGTTTTCAGTTTTAGTCAATACACATAATAATCACAGGTACCTGATAAAATTGATATTTACATTTGTTGCTAAAATATTCAAGTTGACAATGTATGATAAAGCTGTTGCCTTTCTCATACTTACAGTTAAAGTGATGCATTAAATTCAGCGAGGGGTTTTCTTTTTCTCAGACATTAACTTGAACTAAACTTTGTGAGTTTTCCGTACTCTGTTTTTCAAATCAATCCTCCAGCTGCAACTCATCCAGAACGCTGCTGCTGGTGTTCTCACTAAAACCAGGAAGATAGAGCACATAACACCAGTTTTAAAGTCCCTACACTGGCTCCCTGTAGCTCAGAGAATAGACTTTAAAATACTGTTAGTTTATAAATCACTGCTGTTGTATCAACCTTCCAGACCCCTCATGTTCTGGTTCTGGTTCTGCTCTGCATCCCCATAACCAGAACTAAACGAGAAGAAGCAGCATTCAGCTTCTATGCACAATAAATTTGGAACAAACTTCCAGAAAACTGTAAAACACTGAGTGCCTTTACATCTCGACTAAAAACCCACCTGTTTAGAGTTGTACTTGAAATGTAATCAATTACGAATTTAGTGATGGCATTTGACTTAATGTAATGTTTTAATTGTTGATTCTATGTTGCATGGCTATGTGTTTTTGTGTTTGTTATGATGTAAAGCACTTTGAAATGCCTTGGTGCTGAAATGTGCTATACAAATAAAATTTGATTGATTGATTCCATCAATTGATCACCATGAGAACTTAATACAAACCCAGTCAAAAGATAAATGCTGTTTTTTCTGGTGTTTGATTTCAAATGGATATGATTTCAAATATAACTGAGTAACTTTATTCAAAACTAATTCAAGTAAAAGTAAAAGTTCAAGTTTTGTAAACAACTTAAAGGACAAATTAGACAAATTGTAATTAAATCAATAAATTTAAATATAGCTAATTACTTTCCACTCCAAATGGCAGAACCAATACATATACATATATATATTTCACATTCTGAAGTGGTTTGACTTCTGCGTTATCCATACAGGTAGCCTATAGGACAGTAAAATATTAATGATTTTGTTTTGGTTTGCACAATGAGTCACTATTTCATTTTTTGTACTGGCAAGAATTTAAAACTACTTTCACCCCTAGTTATAATCTCTAGAGGCCTTTACAGATTTTCATTTTTAATCCTGTTGATTAATTGTGATACTTAAATGTTCAAATAAAATAATATTTTCACCTTTCAGGTATAGGTCTGAATGATGGCCAGTGGCACAGTGTCCATTTAAATGCACTGGACAACTATGCCATGCTGACGGTAGATGGAGATGAAGCATCCACTGTTAGGACCGCTATTCCTGGCCAGATCAAGACAGGAGGAACCTACTACTTTGGAGGTAATTGATACCTTACCTCATTTACTTTTACAATCAAAAAAAAGATTACTTTCCAGTATTTTCTCCTAAGAGTCACTTCTATGTACACAGTTTAAATGTTAAAGGAAAGTAAAGTAATAGAAAATGGGGCTCTGAAATGATTCAGATATGGTTATCTGTTTTGGGTCTTTTGCTTTTGACTTTAGCATCTCAAAATGATTACTAGAAACTACAGAAAAATACACAGTCACAGTTACCACAGCTAAAAAAAAACTTTGAGGTTCAGTTACAAGCCAACAATTAGTATTTGATATATTTTTAGTGTTTGAATGAGTCAATCTCTCTCCTAAGTTGGGGGGATATATGACTCATATCATTCTTAAGGATACTTCAGTGTTTTAGAATATCATTATTTTCCCCCACCTGTCAGTGGTGGGTACATTGTAGAAAATGTTATGCAAGTGAAAGCTGTTTTTGATTCTTGACACTTTCAAGACCAATAGGGATGTTCTGAATGAAATATTTTGGTGGGTTGCTTTCAGCTCTATGTTGCATATTTCTACTAAAAGGTTCAAAAAGCTGTTGGTTAATATGTTTTCTATTTCAAAATGTACAAAGTTTACTACTGATGGTGTTTCTCCTTTTTTCACCATCTTCAGGCTACTTCCCACACACTAGCATGTGGTCACTACAGCGCTCTTTCCAGGGCTGCATTCAGATGATCCACATAGATGACCATCTAGTGGACCTGCGGGCTGTGGAGGAGGGTCACATTGGAACCTTCGAAAATGTTAGCCTGGATATGTGTGCAATTATAGACAGGTATATTTCTGAGAAATACTGTAAAAAACACACATTTGGGAAATTTTAGTGAGTACCTGATCACCAGGAAATAAACATTTGAGGCTTTAGGTTTAAAACTTTTAGAGTGCTGTGATTCTGCAGCTCCTCTTATGATTTGGAAAGAGAGTTCTTGCTGACTTCACATTATTTTCCTACTGCCATGTGTGAGGACAGGTGTGTTCCCAACCACTGTGAGCATGGAGGGAAATGCTCCCAGACATGGGATACATTCAGCTGCAATTGCAGTGGTACTGGCTACTCTGGAGCAACATGCCATACATGTAAGTTCACACACAGATCACCTAGAAATGCATGTCAAATATTTAGTGAATTGTAACTCTGTTAAGAGACGCCTAATCCAGAATGTAGGATTGGACTACATTGGACATGACAAAAAGTAAATTTATTTAGAGGCTTTATGTAGTTAATACACAAAACCAGGGTTTATCAACCTTTTTGAAAAGCAGAGCTACTTCAGGATGCTCAATACAAAGGGCCAAAACTATTCATACCTGTGGCATATCTAGGTTAAAATGTCAATTCACCATGTTTTTTTCGAATATAAGAAATAGTGAAACTTGAGGTGCTTTCTAACCTCAAAGACTTGGAGGACTTGTCAATGTAAATTTATTTACAAAGCACTTTAAAAACAGATCAACTGCACCAATGTCCTGTGCAGTTTTCATAAAGCACAGATAAAACAGAATAGAATTGCATGCTGTTGTCATGTTGGGTTCAAGTCTTTTTGCCCACATACAGAATACTATCAGGAGAATAGGAAATCAGATAAATAGAGTTTATTTTGACAATGATGAAATGTGAAATTGTGTGGTTCCTCTGCTGTGGATGGAAGTCAGGGTCTTCGGTTCTCAGTGGGAGAGAGAGAGATGGTGAGTTTGAAGGGTTATCAGACAAATGAACTTCAGAGGAAAA